TCAAGTTGGTTGAGTATGGCGAGATTTTCGGCGCTACTTTGCTACATTCCTTACAGTGACTGGCATCTGAAAGGTGATTACACACACTGGAGATCAAAACAGGGTTCACTTCGCTCTTGAATGGGTGATTTTATTAACTAAGTGTACATTATAATAGCCAGCATTGTACAACATCATTTAAAGCGTTTCGAGTTGAAGGATCTATTTTGCCTCCTTTGAACTTCGTCGGGTGCGCGCCTGATTTTCGATTATGCAAAATACAGCGCTAAAGCGCTACATAAGAGCGCTTTCCGTACTCCGTGGTTGTGCGATCGTATGAGCGCGCGGGGAAATCAGTGTCGTCAGGGTAATCGTGCCGGGACCGCGCGCCGGATGCTCAAGTGCGATTTTGCCGTTTACCTTACGTCCAGAAAATGAGCGCAGCCGAAGTGAGTAGTCTTATTAGCTGCGGATGGAGGAGCGTGCCGAGCGAGATGGGTTTGCAGCAGCACCGAACCCGCTTCCTACCACTTGCTGAAGCGAATGCGATAACAATTGGTGGAAAACGACTGATATGAACAATATGATAGCCTTCTCGCTTGCGGCTTCAACAGGTGGTGGAAAACGAGTATGACGCCGCGCCAAACTCGTTTTGCCTTCCACGCCCCTTCATCCGCAGCAATAAAACTGTAACTCCTCTTAATTTGTGCACTTTTAGAACGATTTTGCAGGTACCGTTTCATTTCTAGAAACAATGAGAAACTTTTTCTGGAAATAAACAGGTTCGGGCGGTCACCTCCATAACCTCAAGCGCAGAGCACTTTGGTGCATGTGGATACAAAATATGAGGAGTAACATTTATTATAGCAACAACAACGTTTAAATAGTCTTCTATTAAATAATTTAAACACCAGTTCTCAAGACCTAGTTCGTTTTCTTTCCAGTGGTGATAGGTTTCGGAGGCTCCTTGTAATGGAGGAACACAAGCGAGAACAGTACTACTCCAAGCATCATGGAAAATGACGACGCGTAGTATGGATACGCCGATCGAATGAAACGTTCATACTGAGTGTGCAGTAACGGACGGACGGACACCTGCAAATAATGTACACCCTTGTTCACTGCAGACGCTGGGGCGTTTTCAGGGGACGGGGTTAGCTGCGGGCCAACACTTGTTCTGCACCATGCGTAGTGTCTGTCAGTCCTACGATATGGTGAGAACAGGTCGCGCTGTGTCATAACCCAGCCACCGCTTGAATCCACTTGGAGAACCCACCTTGAAACTCAGCCAAACCCCAAATATGACCCCACCTGCTGCACATCATAGAGATGTGTATATCCAACTCTACGGTAATCAACTAGGAACTTGTAAACTCCATACACAGGATCCGGACAGCTTAAAGCCGAGTCGAAGCGACATTCGGGAAATGTGACCTTGTTTACTAAGACCAAACGCAAGAGCGAGAGATGATTCGGCCAACGGCTTAACCTTAGAAAGCAAGAGTTGTCCATGAAACGAAGGATCAAGCTACAAACTTCGATTTGAAATCTTTCGATTGAATGGCAGCCAATTTTCGCTTCGTAGCAAGCTCTCTATATATCGATGGCGCTACTCCTTAAAAGACTGGCAGTGTAGATTAGGCAAAGTGGGACAAATAATGCAATAACGGTAGCACTCACCACTTCGTCCATGATTGTGTACTCTCTTGGGACCTCTTTACTGCCGGCTAGATGATGCTCAACCTTCTTAACGCGCAACACACCGTTCTCCTTGAGTACCCATTTCGACAATGCCGTCACGAGTTCCATGTTGCCGGATCGAACAGCTCTGAATCAAGTACTGAGTATAATGAGGGCATGTCGTATAGTGGGAATTTCCAGCGAGAAGGTCGCATCTGGTTGGGGGTCAAAATTCTTTGAAAAACCAGGTTTTTTGAATGTACCCCCCTCACATTTGCTGCGATAGACGGGTTTTCGGAAAAAAAGGGGTAGGGGAGGATTGCAGCAGGTGTAGGTAGGATAGGGAGATTGGCAAAGGGGAGTGGTTGTTCAGAAGAAAGGAAATTTCGAGAGGTAGTAGTAATTCCACGAGGGCAGGGAGTGCCGAGCATAATCGTCCGCCACGTAGCCCCTTCCTTGAAAAACTGGGTTAATCATATGGTTTGAGGTTCTTTCGCACCCTAAGTCAGTTTAGGAAGCTGTCGCCACCGAGCACTGGCCTCCGGTAATGTGTTGATCCCGATGATGCTCTGCGCAGCCGCGGTGTCATAAGGTCTGTTAATATGGGTTAGTAAGAGCCGTGTAGCGTGGTTGTCCGTGCCGCCACGGGAGAGTTGTGGAAAATGCGACCCCCCCCGTCGGAAAAATCACTTCTTCTGTACGACCTCTCATTCATCGTCTAATACCTCCTCTCTGTTTTCCTAACTTCCTACTACTTTCTTCAGAGGTTTGGATTTATTTCGTAAACTTCTCCACTCCTCCTATCTTTCCAAAAAAACTACCGTCGAAAGGGAGGGTGAGGTATATAGCTCACTAGATAGCGGAAAAAGGCTGGAACATCCCTCAAAGGCTAAATACTATGCATGTGCCTCACTGTCCATTATCACCTACCTGCTCTCTTCTGTTCAGCAGGAGGACCAGCAAAATGAGCAGCTGCATAAGCGAGTACAACACGACAACAGACGAGGGATCCATGCGTGGCGCGCTTATTTCACTCTCATTCCTAAGGCGCAGGTCTAGCAAAGCGCAGCAGACGACCACAGTCGGAGCAGCAGTGTCCCGCAAAGTATAACAGGGGCCAAAAAAGTCATTCCGGCCGAGTCACATATGAGCGAAGTTTTCGCAGCCCAGACAGAGGAAGTGGATATGAGTACCAGGGCGGAAGATACCCAAGATCTTCCTCTATAAGCAGGAGCCGGCTGCCGCCATTCACCACGTTCCATTTACACGACCTCCGACACCAAAATATGAAGTCATCTCCAGTCGCGGCCTGAGTGGAGAACGCCTTTGGAATTCACGTGGCCTCCAAACAGCTGCGGAACTTCTTGAATGGAATCACCCATGGATAGCTACCTGGAGACCAGTACTCTTGATCTGCAAGACCTCAAACATCGAGCAGCTCCGGCAACGTCGCTACGGTCCAGGACATCATCTTCACCCCATTCACCAAGGCGCGGGTTGATGGTGTGGACCGGCCGTACCTGGAATGGGAAGACCGATATTTTCTTTGTAGACCCCGACTGAAGGTGAGCGCTGGGTTCAGTTACATGTGAACTCTAGAAGGGTATCCTCCTAAATGTGGCGCCCGTAGCTTTCTTGGAGGAGCCTTGTGCTGCTACAGGTTTGGGTGCCACATGGAATCGAAGGGTTTTGGAAAAACTCCCGCCTACTTCGAATGGAAGGGCGTTTCGTACCTGATGAAGATGTAATATTGAAATATGTCCCCTGACCTGAACCCACTCAATTACCTCGTCATCCGGGCAGTTGATTAGGGCGGTCGTCGGGCCGCAGCGCGTGCCAGGAACTATTTGCTTTTTCCAGGCTAATTTAGTCATTTTTTCCAACTTTTCACTGTTTTGGCTACTTTTTCCCAGATTAGCAGCTCCTTATCTTCACAAGGTGGAAAAAATGACTAAATTAGCCTGGAAAAGCAAATAGTTCCTGGCACGCGCTGCGGCCCGTTGACGACCGCCCTAATCAACTGCCCGGATGACGAGGGTAGAACCGCCCTAAGTCCAATCTGCCTCGATGACGAGAAAATCACCTAGTTCGGGCGAGCTCAACAGGGTGGTCTACAGTGGCGGAGAAATCAACGATCTCGCTCAACTCCGGTACCCACTCACTTTCGCGCGGCCGAATCTCTCGATGGCGCTCCTCCAGAAGGCTGTGGCGGAGTATCATTATAGTATTTAATGTGCTCTTTAATATGGTAGTAAAAATGTCCGATAAAAATTTAATAAAGTGTAACTTATAGCGCCTTGAAAGTCATGGAGGAAAAAATGACCTTTTTTTTGCCCCCCCGGCTGTATACGGTTGCGCCCTCGAACAGAGAAAAACTTAATCCAAGAGCGCTAAGGTAGTAAAACCACAAGCGGGTTATATGCACACAGTATAGGCGTCGCATTCGCAAGTTATAAGAGAAGTATATACGATTCAAAATAACCTGAAAAGGAAAACTCACTCTTCAGAACTTCCAACTTTATGGACGTCCGCTGAGAGGAAAGCATCCGAAAACATTTCCACCGATCCTGTGAAAACCACACGAGCATTGTTCCGCGCCTGCACTGCGCCAATCATCAATATCTGTTGTCCAAGGGCACCGGGATACTATAATAGAAGATTAAGTCTTTTCAAAGTAAATAAAAAACCATGGCAATCAGGGAATAAAAAACGAAGCCGCGAACGTAGTTCAAAGCGATAAGCGGCTGCGCGACTGGTCGTCTGTGCCTTTACCCAAGACGATACTAGTTCATTACTTCTCCCTCCCCTTCCCCATCCCTCAGACTGAACTTTACAAAAGCGCAGACCACCAAAGTCCCGGCGACCTGATCTCGCCGTCTACCCTTCCTCTCTCAACTACGGTGACGCCAAAAAAGGATAGCAACCTGTAATTTTAATAGAAAAAGATCACCTCATCTACAGTCTCAGCTGGATTGTAAGAATACGCAGTGGATGCTGCACGCAGCACTTCGAGGCGTAGACGATTATTCTTGTGTGCAATCATGGCAATACCCTAGAAACGCGTGTCTCTAACTGAATCAAGTAAAAGAACCGGTTCAACGGGTACCTTGAATAGAACTGGATTCATTTTTGCAGTTTCTCCGACAACAAGCTGAGCGTTCAACAGTTGCTGCTTGGAAGCAACGATCGTTGTGTGGTGTCCATCATCCTGAAGATTACAGAAACAATTCATGCTTTTTTACAACACAGTAACAAACGAACAAAACGCACCAAGAAGCTCATCGTAATTGTTATGTGGGTCGAGACCATTAGTATCCGACCGTTCGAACTCAAAGCCATGTTGGAGAGCCAGTTCACGAATGGCGTTACCGAGATTAGAGCCTCCAGCAACCAACAGATTACCGCCTTCGTCAACAAACCGGGAAATCTCCTCAGCAGTAATGGAACCACCGAATTCTGTAAGCAGTTGAACGTTTCCTAGATACGATATGCCATCAAAGTTTGCTCTTACTTGTTAAAACTGATGGCTGTACTTCACCCTTTCAGAAAAGTATGGTTTTTATTAACCTACAGCTCATTAGTTTGCTGTACAAGAAGGGAGACCTGTACGACATTGGCAATTATCGCCCAATCTGCCTGCTGTCTGTAGTCTACAAACTTTTCACACGAGTCATCCTGAACAGGATTGGCAGAACACTAGACGAAGGACAGCCGTGCCCCAGCCATGCGAGCAAGCAGGGTTTCGAAGAGGATTCAGCACGATCGATCACATCCACACGGTAACGAAGCTCATTGAAGTATCGCGAGAGTACAAGATGCCGTTATGTCTCACGTTTATCGACTTGAAGAAAGCCTTCGACTCCGTTGAGACAGAAGCGGTTATCGAAGCCCTGGGCAACCAGGGTATTCCTACTCAGTACATCAGGATTCTTCGTGAGCTCTACAGCAACTTCACGACCAAGATTTCACCATTCTACAAGGAGATCATCATTGATGTGAAGAGAGGGGTCCGACAGGGCGACACCATCTCGCCCAAGCTCTTCAGCGCCTCTCTCGAGAACGTCATGCGTCAACTGGAATGGGAAGACATGGGAGTGAAGATCGACGGTCGGCAACTACACCATCTCCGCTTTGCTGACGACATCGTTTTGATAACGCCAAACATCGAGCAAGCGGAACGAATGCTGGCTGAATTCGACTGCGCGTGTGGAAGAATCGGTCTACGGCTGAACCTAACGAAGACGATGTTCATGAGAAACGGATTGGTATCTGATGCCCCATTCACGCTCAACGGAACGACCATCTCTGAATGCTCTAGCTATGTGTACCTAGGTCGTGAAATCAATATGATGAATGACCTAGCTCCAGAGCTGAGCAGGAGGAAGCGAGCGGCTTGGGGAGCCTTCAAGAACATCGAGGGAGTAGCGAAGAAGACGAAGAACACCAAGCTCCGTGCCCACCTCTTCGATTCCGCGGTCCTTCCTGCCTTGACGTACGCCTCAGAGACTTGGACTCTACGAAAGCAGGATGAACATGCGGTCGGTGTTATTCAACGCGCCATCGAAAGGGCGATGCTCGGAGTTTCCCGCTACACGCAAGTGAGAGAGGGAATCCGGAGCTCCGCACTCCGCCAACGATCGAAGATCAGAGACGCCGCCGCATTTGCCAAGGTTTCGAAGATCAGGTGGGCCGGACACGTCATGCGTTTCGAGGACGACCGCTGGACCAGAGCAATCACCGACTGGATTCCACGGGATGTCAAGCGAACGCCTGGAAGACCGCCTACGCGATGGTCAGATTTCTTCGTGAAAGCTCTGAACGAATGGTATGAAGTTCATCGTGTCCCTCGAGCTGAGAGAGTTCATTGGGCAACTCTTGCACGTTGCAGGGACGAATGGAGACGTTACTGGCGCCCGCTCGAGGAACTCGATGATCAAAGGAGCACAGGTTAATACATGGTGAGACACTGTTGATACAGCTCGTTGGTACACTATAATCAGAGACAGATTCCGTCTCCAATTCGTAGGTTCCGCTCCTTTGTACGAGTAGCCCTAGTCTTCACCCTCTGAGGCTGCGCACTTTCGCTGCCTCACGGTAAGTAACGAAGGCACTGTGGCTCATATATGTGACAATTCCGAGGCCTCCCTAATTATCCCGACACCGAAATTCTGCTTTCACTGAAGTTAAGGCTTTTACAGCCACGCTTTAGCTTTTTTTTCACTTTTAGGTGGCTTAGCATTCTGGACGATGCGAAGAACCTACTAGCGGACGCAGCTATCCGCTTTCCTGGCGTGAGGTACGGACACAGTTAGGCTGTTGGGGAGGAAGGGGAGGGAAGGGGAAGGAAAATTCACTTGCGCAGTTCATTCTCCGTATTTTTTTTGTTTTTTTTTGCCTTGGAGATCATACCAACGTCGATTATTCATTGCGTGTTATCCTGAACGATATCACATCCACATTATCGAAATTTTTGGTGTATTCATTTTGTTTCAAAGAAATATCTCGCCCACGCCAGACATTCCTACTTTTATTTCCCCTTTTCATTTCGCATATGGTTTTTTGTGAAAATGTTGGCTTAGCTCATGAAACAATGTCCGGTGACGTGTTCAGCCCTTTCAGTGCACAGTAACGAAAAAAATGATGGCGTCAATGGCAGGAAGCGGATTACAGACAACTTTTGCGGCAATGCTCCTCTTCCACCTGGTACCGATCATAAGTACAATTTCGCATGATCAACACAAAAAAATGGAAAATTACCTTCTACGGATGGAGCGAAAATGATCAAGTGATCATAATTCCTTTCACCATATTTGATCAAAGAGAGTGAAGGATCGTCCGCAGTACGAAAAACTAGTTGATGTCCACGATCTAAATTGCTAGAAGATTATGAACGATTACTGATATTTGACTACTCAGGCAAAGTCGGCCAAGTGGCGGGGGGGAGCATTCAAAGACTTCTTGTGAAAGCTGGAGCTGCCTTAATGGGAAACCCCTTTAGCCAGAAGAAATTGGCCCATCAACCCTGGAGCTACATTCTTCCTAGGCTTACGCGAATTTTCAAGTTTTCAGACAATGTCCCTTGGATGCTCGATCCCTCTTAGCCGATTTGAGCCCTCTTAAACAAACCTTGAAGTGAGCGAAAGAAGGACGAATGAGTCTCTCTAGCACTCAGACACTCAACCAGCACAAGAGTTCGGTCCGCATTCACCAGTGCAATGAGTGTAGCAACGAGGAATAGGAGCCTCATTCTGAAAATGACCTCGTAAGCTAGAAGTAGGGGTAAATTTCTAAAAATGCAAAAAAGATGTACTCATTGGTCGAACTGTGACACGGCCACGT